TCATCCGTGATGTTCGTTGATTTGTTCATTTCAGTGCCACATTGTTTTATTTCCATATGCCTCGTTTTTCTGTTTCTGTCTTCCATGAGTTCTGTTCGTTCCGTGTCTTACCATGCACGATAAGTACACTTTCATTGAAGCTTCATCCCTTTGGCCATTCCGAGTCCTAGATTTCCACTAAATAAATTAAGTCTTCATAGCCGTTGGGCACAATTGCCACTTATCGCAGTGAGGTATGTTTGCATGAGTATGTAAAAACTGTTTTGTAGTTTTCTTGGTTGGTTTGGAACAATCAGACGGATGTCAGCAAAACTTGAAGTAACCGTGCCAGCGTATCACCATTCAGACTGCATTCTTGAGCCGATTGCTATTCCAAAGAACACTGTTTAGGGACTTAGGCATCCTTTCAGCAATACAACAGATGAAGAGAAACTTCTACGATTGCTTTGATAAACGTCCCTACCTTATTAGCACAAGCCTCCATCACAACAGTGCATAAGACGCGTTGATTAATGCTAGCGAATTTCCGAACCTTAACGAGCAGGTTTGCCCCCAGCCATTCCAGTAATATGCCTAGTTTTATCTAGGATTTGTATGTTTCGTCAGTCCCCGAGGCTTGATCTTCTGGCCTCATGTCTATTAAGCCTACCCTTTCTACTAAATGTCACGCACCTAGATGCTTTTCAGTTTCAGTTCGTACAACAATTAACCATACACTTTCGTGCACCGGTTTGGGTTACCGTCTTTTGCTGCCCACTTGGATATAGCAGCAGAAGAAACACAGGAAAGTTAGAAGAACAGTCGAAGAGAAAATGGAGAATTTCAGTGGACTAAGGTCGCAAAGAAATTCGGTAGATACACGAATGCCACTGTTTACTACACTCAACCGTATCACTCAGTGTCTCTAACCATCGGGTGCGATCTTCAGGTCCTCATCCAGGGAACCTAGCGCGACCTTTATGATAGAGTCTTCTGGTTGGGGTTTTCATATCCTCGAACCAGGTCTTATATTGACCACCCTTGGCTTCTTTCCACACACTACCTGCCTCGGCGAACAGTGCACGCCACAGCAATCTATTTGGTGGCATGCGTAAAACATGTCCCAATCAGCGTAACCTATGGAGATCGACCACTTGCTCCAGTGGGCGACCGCGGATACCCAAAACGCTGCACCTAACCTCCGCATTTCTTGTCCGGCTGCCCTACCAGATTCGTGGAATGCTGTGTTCAAGCACCAACTGTCTATCCTGTTTTCATAGAAGCACCAGAAAAGTGCGTTCAATGATGAAATATCCTGTGATATTTGCAGAGTTGCGCAGTCTAGTTTTTTTTTCCTAATGGAAAATGCGAGAGCACCGATATAACGAATTAACCAATCAAATCGCACTATTCTGTCCGTTACCGTAGCTTCCATGAATGCAGTAGGGTCGAGAGACATACGAACCCACCCTACCCTTTTGTGTTTTGGCAGCGGTTATCGATACAATTGGGCACTTTGGACGTTTGAACCCGTCCAAAGGGCGTATAATGCGATGAACCGAGCAGCGCCCCTCCCCAATGAGGGTTCTCACATCGTTCCATTTCGTTGCGCGTCAGGCTTTGGCTAGGCGAAGACTCCGTCTGTGAATTCCTCAAGAAACTTCACCTGCTTCGACATAGGCAACCTCGGCAGTATTGTGCCCAAGTGCAAATCATGGAACTTTCTCTTCACATAAAGAATATCGTGCCGTGAATTATTTGGCCCTATCTGAACTCAGATTGATGTGAAAATATAAATATAAAACAGCAACATCGACAAAAGACCGGTGATTTCCCGAAGTGGCGCTTGGTCCAAATCTATTTACCAACCCTTATTTAACAGTCTTCCGTAACCAACCCTCTCCCTTTACCAATTCTGCCGACCCGTAACATTCCCCCTAGACAACTTGTTCGTCACTCGCCAAAATTCGATGCCGGTAAGTGGTTTACCACAAAATGGATCGTGGATTCTGAAGCCTTGTGAATCACTGAATCTAGGGCCTTCGACGTAAGAACGCTGATGCCGGTGGGGCATCATGCGTGTCTAACGCCTACAAAGGATTCTTTGGTGATTGATGTCTGCTGCGTATCGGAGACGCGAATCCAGAATCCTAGTACTATAAGCCACTTAAGTGCGCCTGATTTGTCTTCGAGGTGCTTCCTCCGCAGATCAGGTGACATTGGATATGGTAAGTCAGTACATCGATGAAGAAAAAGCGGCAAATCCCGACTGCCCGGGATCAAAGCAGGGATATGTGGCGTCTGAAAAGTCAGCGCATGAAGAGTCTCGAGAAAGACCGTGAAAAATGGCGGGCAACAATAGCTAGTGAAATGGAAGTAGCAGCTGCATCACGGAATAGTCAAAGACTGTTCCAACATCAGTTTGAACTGACACGCGACAGACTATATCATCTGTTGTCGATGACGCACCGTGGGCAGTATCATGTGAACCTACTACTGAAGCAGAAGTACGATCTCGCATCCGAGCCCTACAGAAAGGTAGAGCAGCAAGACCTGACAGGCTTACTCTCACTCTTTTCAAGATGGTGTGCGATAACCCCATAGATCTAATCATCGATTTAAAGTGCAACACACATACGATCAAGCGTTTCCAGCACCCAGCCACACTAACTGGGGAGCAATAGGGCAAGTGGATAAGTTTTTTTTATTTGGGCAGCTACGTCTCACCCGGTGGACGCATCACGGATGAAGTGTCAGCTCGCATACACAAGGCTCCATTGGCATTTATCAACCTGAGACATCTGTGGCGCCGTCGCGACATCCGGCTGTTTGCCAAGGGTCGAGTGTATGCTGCTGCATTTCGGCCAGCTCCGCTACACGACACAGAGACGTGACCATTAAGGAAACAAAATAAAGATAGACTGTCTGTGTTTGAACACCGTTGTCTACGTAGCATTGCACGAACCTGGTAGGGCAGCCGGACAAGAAATGCGGAGGTTAGGTGCAGCGTTTTGGGTATCCGCGGTCGCCCACTGGAGCAAGTGGTCGATCTCCATAGGTTACGCTGATTGGGACATGTTTTACGCATGTCACCAAATAGATTGCTGTGGCGTGCACTGTTCGCCGAGGCAGGTAGTGTGTGGAAAGAAGCCAAGGGTAGTCAAGCTAAGACCCGGCATAGGTCCCGTTANNNNCCTGGATGAGAACCTAAAGATCGTACCCGATGGTTAGAGACAATGAGTGATACGGTTGAGTGTCGTAAACAGTGGTGTTTGTGCATCTCAATGTCTCTGCAACATTAGTCCTTTGAAATTCTAAATATTCTCTTGGATCCTACTTTCAATCTTTTCTGTTTTTCTCCTAATGTTCATCCAGGTGGGCAGCCAAAGGACAGCAACCCAAACCGGCGCATTATAGCGCATGGTTAGTGGTTGGACAAACTGTAACAGAAACTGCGCCTCCGTTTGACACCGTTTAGGGAGACAAATATCCGCGAACAACAAGCAGGATTTGGACCAGATCGCGGTTGTATTGATCAAATCTTCACTCTGCGTCAAGTCCTCAAGCTACTTCATACACACCGTCGACCAACGGTTGTCGTGTTCCTTGACCTAAAAGGAGCCTTCGACTCAGTTGACCGCGAATTCCGTATGTTTTCGCT